GGAAGATGAAAAGAGAAAGAGACTAGAGAGTAGTAGAGAAAAATCTAGAGAAAAAAAATTAGAAGAGGAACAGAAGAAAAGAACAAACAAAAGTAGACATGGGAAGGATAAAATAAAGGCCATGAAAAGAGAGGAAGAAGAATAAAGAACAATCAAACAAAAACAATGAAATAACAAAATGAAAAAATAAAAAACCAGTGCAGCTGTTGGATCCACCCAAGGAACTCACAAGTTGGGTGCAGGAGGGAGGTGATGGCTGAGTTCCCAGCCCTGAATAGAATTTCTATTGGCCTAGGTGTTGTCTGTCTGGAAGCAGGTCATGGAGGCACTTCAGGTTGCTAGCTTCAGTGTCTGTGAGAACCAGAGGGAAGCTAGGCAGGCAGGGTAGCTGATTATGAAGGCTCCTGCTAGTTGAATTCTGGCCTGGTGGCTCTGTGGTTCTGCAGATCTGGAGCAGAGTCCACCTGAATCCAGGTGTCAAGATGGTGCAGTGGGCATCTGCTTCACCCTGGATTAAACCACATGGCTCAGAAATCCTGGAGAGCAGGGTCTGAAGTGGGAATAGGTGAGTGTGGGGGCCGGCCTATCTCTTTTATCCAGGGGAATGTGAAGAGAAAGAAGGAATCCCACCTTTTTAGTTGCCCATGTGAATCTCTGCCATCAGGCCACTATCTCTCTCTTCAAAGCTGCTGGCAAAAGTTCACGATGGCTGCATTGTGTCTGGTTGGCAGTCTATTCACCAGCCAGTTTCCTTCTTTTACCACAGTTACTCAGCTTCTCCTCCCAGCTGGTATTCAGTCCACTTTTTTAACCTTTCCTTTGATGCTCAGGGTTCCATAATTGTCCTCTGTGTCTATCTCATTTTGTCTCCAATAGCATTGTTGTAGAGGGTCTATAATGTATGTCTGTCTAGACCAGGCACTATCTAGCTATTCTGGTCTCAGGGCTGTGGAGGTTGAGACCTATGTGGTCCTTTAGTCTTTTGGACTAATTGCTTCCATGTGTTTTTGATTTTTGTCATTCTTTGCTCTTGATGGGGAGAGACCAATTGTTGTACCTTAGATGGCCTATCACAAGTTTTTTTTTTTAATGTTTTATTGTGAATTATATTATAGTTTACATGGGAGAACATTAGTTTTACATTAATTCTATCGTATATCGTTTCATTGCCATGGTTACAATCCCCTCCATGCATCATCAACCAACCAAAGGGTATACCCTACAAGCCTGCCCCCTACACTTCCCCCCTCCCCCCCCCCCCTCTGGTCTTCAGTACACAGTCGCTCTCCCTCTCTGGATCTAAAGTCCCCAGCTGCTCCATCTCTCCACGTCATCATCTCTGCCTCCAACTCAGGCATCACTGCTTCTCTGGGTAGGGTCCCGCTCTCGGCTCTTCTCCGTTGATGGTCCTAGGGACCTCCGCTCTTAGACTGGAAAGTTAATCACTTCCCTTCTTTGCTATGAAACATCTACCTTTACATTTCCAACCCTCACAATCAGTCCTGCTAACTATCACAAGTTTTGAAAACCCCAGTCACTACTCACACCAAAGCAGTATGTAGAACACTGTTATGTCACTGACCTTGGTGTTCTACACTGGTGTAGTTTTTAGTCTCTGCCTTTTGAATGTCTTAGTTTCAAGTTTTTTTGGTTTTAATTCTAGGAGTGGTATTGCTGAATCATGTGGTAGCTCTATTTTTAGCTTTCTGACACTTTTTTCCACAATTGCTGTACCATTTTGCATACTCATCAGCAATGGATAAGGGTTCCAATTTCCCTACATGCTCAGGACCATTTGTTATTTTGTTTTTAATTTTCATTAAAAATTTTAAAAAATATCCTTTAAAAAAAAAGTTTGTATTGTGAATTGAGTTATAGTTTACATGGAAGAATACCGGTTTTACACTCGTTTCGTTGCAATGATTACAATCTCCTCGGTGCACCATCATTCAAAGGTATTTGCTTCTATTTCCTCTGTTTTTTGTTTTGTTTTTCCATTTAAACAACCAAAGGCACATTCTGCAAGCCTGCCTCCTGGCCGCCAGCACACAGCCTTTCTCTTTCCATGAGTCTGGAGTCCTCAGCTGTTAGCTATCCTTCTAGTTGTTAAGTGCCATTAAGTGTTTCCAACTCATAGCGACTCTGTATAGGGTTTCCCAAGGAGCGGCTGGTGAGTTTGCACTGCTGACCTTGCAGTTTAAACCAATTTTGTGGTCCAGTGCTTGTCCTACATCACCATACCAGCATTCCATCCTAACAGGAATGGTATCTCATCATGTTTTTAATTTGCTCTGATAGCTTAAGATGCTGAGTGTCTTTTCATGTGTTTGGTAGCCATTTGCATGTCCTTTTGTTGAAATTGTCTTTACCCATTTTGATTGGATTGTCTTTTTGCTGTTAAGTTACTGAACTTTTCTGTATATTTTGGTTATTATATCCTTGCTGTGTATATAGTTTCTAAAGGTATTTTTCAAGGCAGTAACTTTTCTGGGTTTTTTTGGGAAAACTTTTTAAATTAAAATTTTTGTTTTATGAAGTGTCATTTATTTATCTTTTGCTGTTTGTGTGTTTGTTACTATATTAGACAGCCAATTGTTGAAGATAGATCTCATAAAATTGCTCCTATTGTTCTTCTAATAATTTTTTGGTTTAGTTTGCAGATTTAGGTCTTTAACCCACTTTGATTTTGTTTTTGTGTGTGGTATGAGGAAAGGATTCTGTTATCACTTTACTGCCTGTGTACATGCAATTTTCACAGCACTGTTTATTGAAGGGAGTCCTGGCACGGCACTGTGGGTTAATGCCCTGGACTGCAAAGTCGGTTTGAACCACAAGGTCGGCAGTTCAAGCTTACCAGGCGTTCCTTGGAAACCCCTATAAAGGGTTACTATGAACCAGAACTGACTAGATGTCACTTAACAACAATTTATTGAAGAGACTTTACTTTCCCCATCAAATGAACTTAGCACCCTTTTAAAAAATCAGTTAATGATGGATGTGTGGGTTTATTTCTGGACTCTCAACTCTATTTCATTGTTTTATGTGTGTATTGTTATACCAGTACCAGGCAGTTTTGATTATGCAGTTGTAAAATATATTTTAAATTGGTAAATTTGAGTCCTCCTACTTTGTTCTTCTCTTTCAATGCTGTTAGCTATTTGAGACTTCTTGCCATTCCATATATATATATATATTTGTAATATTTTTATTGTGAATTGAGTGATAGTTTACATGGGAGAACATCAGTTTTATACTCATAGTTTCATTGCAATGATTACAATCCTCTCCGTGCATCATCATTCAACAGTATTTGCTATTTGCTTCTATTCTATTACCTCTGTTTTTTGTTTTTGAGGGGGGTATGTACACAAAAACACTCAGGAATATATAATAATTTAAACAACCAAAGGGCACATTCTGCAAGCCTGCCTCCTTCCTGAGTGCCAGCACACAGGCTTTCTGTTTCTATAAGTCGAGTCCTCTGCTGCTCTATCTCTTTTGCTGGACAGCAAGTTTGGTTTGAACCGCAAGGTTGGCAAGTCAAGTTCACCAGCTGCTCCTTGGAAACCCTACACAGGGTCTCTATGACTCTGAACCAACTAGAAGGCAATGACAACGACAACATTCACAAGAAATATGAGCCTATAGTTTTCTTTTCCTGTGGTATCTTTGTCTGGTTTGGGTATCAGGGTTATATTTGCTTCACAGAATGAATTTGGAAGTGTTCCTTCCTTCTTTATCCTTTGAAAAGAGTTTAAACAGTATTGGCATCAATAATTCTTCTCACAATGCTTGGCAGAACTCCCCAGTGAAGCCAATGGGTCCAGCAATGATTCTACTTGATGTATATACAACTTTCGTTTTAAGAAGCAGGGAATTGTCTGCTTCATAGGTGAATACTGACACTGTAGTGACCACTATCTGGTATGCCAGGATGCTCTTTCTAGGCAAAACTCACATCCTAACTTTCCATGGTTATTGCTTACTACTGGAGATGGTTGGAGGCAAGAAGATAATTTACAGAAAATACTTGGCACTACCTCTCATACTTCGGACATATTGTCAGGAGGGACACCAGTCACTGGAGAAGGATATCATGTTTGGTAAGGTAGAGGGTCAGAGAAAAAGAGGAAGACTCCCCCACCCCAACAAGATGGATTGGCCAAGTGGCAGCATCGATGGACTCAAGCGTGTCAACAGTAATGAGGTTGGCCCAGGATCGGGCAGTGTTTCTTCTGCTGTGCATAAGGTTGCTATGGGTTGGTACCGACTCGATGGCACCTAACAACAACAACAACAACCTCTCATAAAGTAATTTATCAATAAATGTTAGCTAAGTTATTTTCAAATGTTTAGATATTTTCCTTCATGACTTAATTTTTTAATCTTTTTATTTACGTGGAGTTGCAGTAGAGAGGTTAAGAGTATAGACTGGAGTCTCACAAACCTGAATTCTATGTTTAGGAGGTAGTCACCAACTCTCTGCACCTCAGTTCCTTTACCTATACAACGGGAATGTTGACAACCTTCTGTGGGTATTTTAAGGTCTAAATGAGATAGGATATCTAAAGTGGTGAGCGCATAGCAGTTTCTTAGTAGTTGGCAGTTACTCTTTTCTATGTAACAGAATATATTAATAATGATTGGGACAGTCACAATAATGGACTATAGCTTGCAAATCCTTCTGAAAATCTCCCGTTGCTCTATGTAATCTTGGAGTTATTTGATATATTAATCATACAGATAGGCTTGGGGATACCCAAGCGGATACACCATCTTTCTGGGGGAACCTTTTTATTAGGTAACCATGGGAATGTTACAGAACTGTCAAAAGTATATGAAATCAACTAAGAAAAGACATAAAAAGAAAAAAACACCTGAATCAGTTAAAATTTTCATTTTGATAGAAAATAAAAAGTCTACCTTTTGGATGTTTATGAAGTTATTGGGTAAAAATATATTTTACTTTGCTTTAAACACACATTTAAAAAGATACTTACATTGTAATATACACCCTGACCAGGCCAAGTCAAGGCTTTCTTCTTTGAATCCGAAGGAAAATCAACCAGTTCGTATCTATAAGGATTACCTGAAAATTTCAGGAAAAGTATCATGCTGAATAAATAGGAATAGGCTTGTAACTAGTGGGCTTTATGGATATGTGGTGGTTATGTGCCGTGGAGTCAGTTCCAACTCATAGTGACCCTGCATAGGATTTCTGCGGCTGCAAATCTTTACGGGAGCAGAATGGCTCATCTTTCTTCCGCTTATGGATATAGTAAGTAGAAATACGCTAATTTCAGGTAGAAAGGAATGCTAGAGCACATTATAAATGTATAGTTATAGCTTGTGAATTACAACCTACTCTAGAGTTTTTGCTCCTTTATGGGCAGCTCTGACCCTGGTGCTCTCCGCAATACTGCTATGCTTTGTTAGTTGACACTGAGTCAGTTCTGACTCATGGTGACCCCATGTGTACAGAGTAGAGCTACTCTATGGGGTCACCAAGACTGTGATCTCCCAGAAGTAGAGCACCAGGCCTTCCTTCTGAGCCTCCTCTGGGTGAGTGTGAGAGGAGCCCATAACCATTGTATCACCCAGCAGGCCTAGGGGGCCCTATTACTACCCCTGTCTTGTTAATGACAGGGATCTCTCCTTAAGGAAATAAACCTTCACAAATCCTCTTTCTGGTCTCTGAAGGCTCAGGAAATACATTTCTATACTACCTGTTTCAGTGTTCCCTGCCTTAATATCAAGAGTTTTCAAAAAATGGAGTTAGTGCTTCTTTATCAAAAAAGGTAATCTGGTTCTAGAACCTACACTCTTAACTTACATGCTACTTATTTTTAATATGGAAGCATTAAAAAAGGTGGAAGAGTAGGAAAACTAACAGAGTATTTGTTCTTTATGTTGTTGTTAAGTGCTGTCAAGTCAGTTCTGACTCATAGGGACCCTGACTCATAGGGTTTCCAAGGAGTGGCTCATGGGTTTGAACTACCAACTTTGTGATTGGCAGTCTAGTTCAGATTCTACCATGCGACACCAGGAGACCTGAATAGAGTGTAATATAAAAAGAATTGTTCTGATCCAAAATCACATTTTACCTCTGGTCTTCAAAACTGTTGTATCATAAGGCTTCGTTGGCACAGTTGGGGGAAATGGCTGTTGGTTGCGTGCTTTAATGCAAGTGTAGAGCTCCTTGGGTGATGTGAAGGTTGGGAACATGGCACCGCGAGAGATGTGGGTATGGTAAGGGTGTTCAACAGGATACGGGCTGCAGATTTCTCTAAGAGTTCATTGAACAAACAAGAAAAGGCAAAGCAAAATGGTATGGAAAAAGTACAGCAAAATCAAAATGAACTGTCCAATATTTATTGGCACTCTTCTTTGTGCCAGGTATTGTTCTAGTCCATGGGGTATGGCAGTGAATCAGACAAAGTCCCTGTTCTCATGGAGTTGGCATTCTGATGGAATACAGGTTCCAGGTATACCATTAAACTTGGGAAACTGTTCTGATTTTGCTAAACAACAACAAAAAATAACAATAAAATTTATTTTATAAATCATACTTGGATTCTTTATCAGCAAATCAAGAATGCTTTCATAATTGGCATCAAATGCCTGAGGCATTAAGAGTGATGGACAAATTTGGAAACGGGGTGATGGTTAAGCAAGACGATAAATGTAATTGATGTCACTGACTTGTACATGTAAAAAGTTTTGTTACATAAACATGTGTGGTTGTTAGCTGCTGCTGAATCACTTTAACTCATGGACAAATGAGCAAAATGCTGCCGAGTCCTGTACTATTCCTATGACTGGTTGTGGATGGGACCGTTGCAATCTGGGGAGTCTTCCGAAGTAGACTGCCAGACCTTTTTTCCTGGTCTGTCTTAGTCAGAAAGCTCCACTGGCACTTGTTCTGCTTTAGCAACATGTGAGTCTAGAGACTTGCATGTTGTGCAGGAAGCGCACTGGCCAGGAATTGAACCCAGGTCTCCATTCTATGATTAAACTGCCACTGCTCTCTATATATTTAAAAAAAAAAAAAATCAAGTAACAAAAAATACCAAGTAAAAGAGACCTGAATTTTGTAGCTTTCAGAATACCACAGGAGAATTTCTAGTTGTTTTCATCTCCTGTCTCTACCCTTAAGGGGATTGGAAAAGATTCCAAGTATGTATGGTACAGTTTTGGGCACAAACTTGCACTGAAGTTTCAGCCCAATCCACCTTGTTTTTTCAAAAGAAATCAGCTAACAAAATAGCCTGTTTATATGCACAATCCTGTTTAGAAATAAGGAACCCAAATAGCCAGTATACTGAAGAAAAGAAAAAAGATCACAGGGAGAGAATTTTCCTAGTATTTGGAGAACATGCAGGAGTTGAGGAAATCTTTCTGGGTACTGTCTAAATGCACAGGGAAAGAACTGGAAATTCAAGTAGAAACGAGCAAGACTAGGGAAACCTCCAGTCTCCAGAGAGCACAGGCATGCAGCAAGAAGTCCCAGCTGGGAGAAGAGCTAAAGGAAGAGTTTAAAACATTAATTGAATATGTAATCGTAATCCATCGAAGCTGTGGGAAAGCCTTTTAACATCTGCATGCATCTGGCCAGCATAAAGATATAAGTGTCTTATGATTATTGGTACTGTTGTTGTCAACCATTTCAGGCAGTGCCCCTGAGTATCATTCCTGCTCACTCAACATTTACAGTGCCTGATGACCTCCCACGTTACCTGCTGACATATATTCTGTAGACAGTGGATCAGTATTACTACTACTTCATAAAATCATCATAAACATTTTCTTAAACTACATGCAAGCCCATAAGAAACAGTAATAAAGTTCAGAAGTCCCTTCCACTGATTCCACATTTTACCAGCACAATCTCAGAAGAACCCAGGAGAATCCAAATGAATCTTCTACCCAGATAAGTGCTGTTGCATCAGCTCTGACTCATAGTGACCCTGTATAAGGTTTTCAAGGAGCAGCTGGTGAATTGGAACTGCTGACCTTGTAGTTCAATGTTTTATCCTACCAGTACCACACCAGGACTTCTAGCCCATATTAAGGCAACCATATTTCAACTTACTCCATCAATAATACTTTCTAAGTAAGCTTCATGACTAAATGTATACTGGTTACTAACAATATTCGAAACCTAGCCTTTTTATCTTACTCCGTATGGTCCCCAGAATCTCCTTCCTCTTTGTCAAGCTCCCCTGCTTTAAATGTACAAGACTCTTTCTTAGAAAACAGGCTAAAGCCTGTTTGTTGTGTTGTTGTAAGGTGCCATCTAGGTGACTTTCGATTCATAGCGAGTCTATGTGACAAAGTAGAACTGTTCTACAGGGTTTTCTAGGTGTAATCTTTACGCTAGCAGATCATTAGGTCTTTCTCCCATGGAACAGTGAGGTGGGTTTGAACCACCAATCTTTCAGTTAGCAGCAGTGTGCTTAACCATTGTGCCACTAGAACTCCTGACTTTACACTAGACCACAGCAAACTCCAGCCTTTTCTGACTCTGAACACTCTCTGTATACACAAATGTGGACTGGCTTATTCACACAAATGTTATTAATGAAACTATAAATGCTCCTTTGTTTTTAAACAGATATGTAAGAAGAAATTGACTTGAGGGGCTCAGTTTCCTATAGAATCCACTGAGTTGGATACTGGACAATCATTCTGTAGTTCATCCAGTATTCATTCACTGAAAGAGCGCACCCCTGGACCACAAGGAAGCCAGACAGTGGAATCCTGGAGTGCTTGATGTGTGTCCTCATGGAGTCACAGAATGCCCTTACACCAGGCTGTGTCTTCAGCAGTGATGACGAGGCACTTTTTAAGCAAAGTAAATATGAGTTGTTGTTGTTAAGTACTGTGGAGTCGGTTTCGACTCAGTGACCCTGCACAGGGTTTCCGAGCCTGTAAATCTTCACAGGAGCAGAAAGCCTCATCTTTCTCTGGCGGAATGGCTGATAGTTTCGAACTGCCGACCTTGATGTTAGCAGCCCGATTTGTATCCACTATGTTATACGAGTAGTATAAAAAAAAGTGTCTGGTAATAACTGAGGGAAATATTTTACTATAACACCTTAAAGCTATGGACTGGGTTGTGTCTTGAGAAATGCATATTGTGAGATTTTATCCAATTTCTTTTATCTACTACAAAGGTTATTTTGTTTTGTTTTAAATTATAAAAAATTACCTTCAAAATGGAAATAAATTTCAATTCCCATTTAAGTTGTATTAAATGGCCATAACATATTTTATTCCTTTAAATTCTTTAAGGCTATTAGAAAATAAGTATGTTTTTATATTAAATGATTAATAAAGTTTACTTTTCACTTTGTATTTTGAGCCCCAACACAGAGAGGAAATAGCAAGCTCAAGGCAGAATATTAAGCCCTCTTCTCACCACATACACACATATTCAAATGCAGGAATTAGGCTGGGTTTCCTATAGTCTCAGAAAAACCCTATACTGGATAGCTGGGAGTCAGAATTGACTCAGTGACCAGTGGGTTTAAACACTGTTGTTTTTTTGTTTTTTAACTTTAGCCTTTTGAGCAGGTCTTTTGCTTTAGTGGAGACAGTTTTTGGCATGCAGCTTAGCATTTTCAGTTAAGATTGGTATGGCACACCAGCATGTGTACTGAGTGCCCAGATCTTGGCTTCTATCACTACACCCAGTCAAGGATCCAGGACTCTTTGGACAAATGGTTGCTTTGAGCACTGGGACAGGAAATATACTAAGAAAGCCAGGTGCATTTTGTAGTATTAAAAAGTAGGAAAACACTAAAATAAAATCCACACAATGATGGAATATGTATGACAAAGGGATTCTGAAGCCAACTCAAAGTGCTCCCAATAATCACCCTAAGCAAAGACATATGGGAGGGCTTCAAAAAGTTAATGGGAAAATGGAATGAAAATATAATGGAATTTTTTCATGAAATTTTAGAAGCCCCCTCGTGTAACAGCATTGGATTAAAAATCAAAACGTAAGTAAATAGCCCTGAGCCCATAATGATATGAATATATTAGTTAATAAAGAAATAAATGAGGATCAGAAATATTGCCCATGCAGAAGAATGCCATATATTTATATATACATTCTGTCCAGATTCCTTAAGTGTGGCTGCACATAGTGACTTTCTCCTAAAAAGCACACTAGACAGAGAGGGAAACAAAAGAGTAACTTTACAGCAGACAAACCTGTCAAGCACTTCACGGCCAGATGATCAAGACCAACATCAGCAATGTGGCTCTAGAGGATAAACATTGGACTGCTAACCACAAGGTCAGTTACTCCTCAAAATCCTATACAGGGTCCATGAGTCAGAATCAACTAGGTGGCACTTAACAAAAGCCCTTGATAGGATGTGATGAAAATCATATTTTACCTCTGTGGTCTTCTTCCCCAAAACACATTACCCTGGTCTGATTATGAGAAGGACTCCTGGTGTGGTGCTGTAGGATCAGCACTGGCCTGCAAACCACAAGGTCAGCAGTTCAAACCCACCAGTTGCTCCTTGGAAACCCTATACAAGGTCACTATGACTTAGAACTGACTCGATTGAACTTAAAACAACAATTGTGAGAAACAGACCCGACAAACCCCAATTGGGGATTGCAAATACCTGACCAGTAATTCTAAGAGCTGTCAAGATTATCCAAAACAAAGAAAAGTATGAGAAACTATCACAACCAAGAAAAGTCTAAGGAGTCCTTAGATGAAATATTTTCATAAATGTTATACAGTATTCTGGAGTACTGGTGTGGTACTATAGGATCAGCACTGGACTGCAAGGTTGGTTTGAACCACAAGGCTGGAGGTTCAAACTCACCCCATTTCAACAAGAAACAACCTGGAAGATTAGGTACACTTTTGTAATTCTAAGCCTGCAAGTACAGAGTTTAAATAAAAATACAACCTTGTAATGGTTCCCTATACAGGGAACTATGAGTAGGAGCTGACTCAATGGCACTTAATGACAACATACAGTATTATTCTACATGGGATCCTCCAACAGAAAACAAGGACATTAAAACTGAAGGAATATGAATAAAGCATGGACTTAAATTAGTAATAATATAGTAATATTGGTTCATTAATTGTGGCAAATGTTCCATGCTATTGTAAGACATTAATAGGGGAAATGGTGTAGGGCATATGGGAACTCTCTATACCAATTTCCCAGTAATTTCATAAATCTCAAACTATTCTAGAATGAAAGTTTACTTTAAAAAAAGATTGGTAGAAGATATAATTGGAGTAAGTCAATATAATTACCTTGGACTTGTACCAGTCTCTCTTCCCAGTTGTTAAAAAGAAAAAAAAGCAAGCTTTCACAAAAAATTTCACTAGACCTCATATTTCTCTAAGATGTGGGGACTACCACTGTCTTTTTCTTGCTTATAATATGGAAAGAAAATATCAGTTGTATACTTACTCTACCGTAGCATTGGGTGGTTTGGGAATCCTAGAATAGGAACAGGAAACAAATAATATTAAGGATAGTAATACTAAGTATTTTAAAATGCTATATTCCTATTAGAAATTTGCTTAAAAAATAAAGATGTGTCCCATTTCCAAATTATAGTGTCACAAGAAAATCTTGGTTGACTTCAGGAACACTGAATATTGACAAGATAGAAAAATATGACGACATTTCTGTATCCAAGTTGTCTACTGGTCAATTTCGTTTTCCATTTCATTTATTCTAACTCTGTCCCACTCATACTTTTTGTATTTCTTTTGGCAGTGAAGGGACAGGGCCAGCCTACTGCTCACTAGTCTCCTTGACATTCACTTGCATATTTAGGCAGCAGCCCGAGAGCCCTGAAGGAGCCTGGTATCACGCATGTGATGCAATGACATCACCTAACGTGACCTAAAGGTGACCTGGATCGAGAGGATATGTAAGTACTGTGTGTGCTTTTTCCCTTTGCCCAGTTACTAATTGCCTGTGATAATAAATGTTGCCAGTCAACCGAGAGACTGGAACAAAACTATCTAAGCTCCTGGGAGCATGTCTCTTTCAGTACCAGTTCACTGCTGAACAATTCTGAGCCTTGTATGCCAAGAAATGATACTGCAGCCCTGCAACAAAGTCCATTCTAGTGAGGAGAAGCTATCCATTTACACTGGAATTTAATAATTAATTTCAGCCTAGGAAAAGGGGCTTCTGAGATTTCAGACATGAAAGAGGAGTGGAATGTTATCAATTCAGTTAACATCGAATATATTCTTTATTTTTATTGTAAGTTCCTTCTAGCTAGAGGAACTTCACTAGAAAGTGGCATGTAAATGATAAAATTTTATTATCCTATAATAAATATATTATAAACACGCAATTCACAGGAACCATTACAAGGTTGTATCTTTATTTAAACTCTGTACTTGCAGGCTTAGAATTACAAAAGTGTACCTTATCTTCCAGCTTGTTTCTTGTTGAAATGGGGTGGGGAGGTGATGGATACAGCAACCCATGAGATCTACAGTTATGAGATTGACTGGTGGTGGGGATATGCCGTGGAGTCAATTCTGACTCACAGTCACCCTGTACAGGGTTTCTGAAGCTATAAATCTTTACTGGAGAAGAAGGCCTCATCTTTCTCCCATGGAGCAGCTGGCAGATTTGAACTGCTGACATTGAGGTTAGGAACCCACTATCCTACCAGAGTCCTGGTGTGGCACTGTGGGTTAATGCACCAGACTGCAGTTTGAACTGCAAGGTCAGTGGTTCAATCTCACCAGTGGCTCCTTGGAAACCCTCTACAGGGTCGCTATGGGTCGGAACCGACTTGATGGCACTTAACAACAACAACCCTACCAGAGCTCCTTAGATTGTCTTCTGTATGTAAAGCATTAAATTGGCATCTAAAATTGTTCATAAGTAACAAATTTACCTAGGATATTGACAATACGCGTAAAAATGATCAGATCCAAAAATGAGCAAAAAATAATTTTAAATCAAAAGAAAACTTTAAAAAATGTTAAAATGTGAAGGGGGAAATAAAAATAATCTCTCAAAAAAGCCACTTCTTTAATCCAGCCAGTCCATCAATTTATTGCCATGCCATGTTCTAAAAAAATCCACTGATCACAAGCTGCCTCATCTTTCTCTCACAGAGATACTAGTGCTATCAAACTGATCATCCTTCATTTAGGAGCTGAGAGCTTTCCCTCTGTCCTAGCTACAGGGCTCCACAGTTACGGTTTTGCTGTTGCAACAAATTTCAGGTCTTTTGGGCTCCCTCTAGTGGCTCAATTATATATCTTAACTTTTGTTTTGTTTTGTTTTTCTTAAAGCACTTTCCTGTTACTTGAATCCTATTTATTCTTACCTATTTACTGGAGTCCTAGTGTGGCGCTGTGGGCTAATGTGACTGCAAAGTCATTTGAACTGCAAGGTCGGTGGTTCAAACTCACCTGCTGTTTCGATATAGGGGGTTGCTATGGGTCACTTATACAGGGTTACTATGGGTTGGAATTGACTCAATGGCACTTAACAATAACAATTCCTTACTCAAGGAGCTTGGTTGCGCAGAGGTTAAGCACTCTGTTACCATTCGAAAAGGTTGGGATTGAAAGCTACTAGCCACTCCTCGGGAGAAAGACGTGACAGTTTGCTTCCATAAAGAGTACAACCTCAGGAATCCTATGCGGCAGCTCTACTCTGCCCCCTAGGGTTGCTGTAAGTCTGCACACAGCAATGTATTTTTTTTTCTTTAAATTTTTATTAAAAAAATGAGACTGGTGGTTGGTGGTGATTGTGTACCATTGAGTCGGTTCCTACTCATAGTGAGGCTGCATAGGGTTTCTGACGCTGTGAATCTTTACAGGAGCAGAATGCCTCATTTTTTTTTACCCCCACAAAGCAGCTGGTAGATGCGAACCTAGGTTAGCAGTCCAGCTCCTTAAAGAAGATTTAGGAAATAATTTCATTAAGAGTTATTTGTAGATGGAAGGAGGCCTGGTATCATGTTGTTGTTGTTAAGTGCCATCGAGTCGGTTTGACCCACAGCGACCCTGTACAGGGTTTCCGAGGGTGTAAATCCTTACGGGAGTAGAAAGCCTCATCTTTCTCCCGCGGAGCGGCTGGTAGTTTCAAACCGCTGACCTTAAGGTTCGCAGCCCGATTCGTAACCACTATGCTACCAGAGCTCCTGGTATCATAGTGGGTTACAAATTGGGCTGCTAATTGCAAGGTCAGCAGTTGGAAACTACCAGTCATTCTGTGGGAGGAAGATGAGGCTTTCTGCTCCCTTGAAGATGTGGTGGTGGTGGTGATGTGCTGTAGATAAAGTTTCTGAGGCTGTAACTCTTTATGGGAGCAGAAAACCTTATCTTTCTCACGCAGAACCGCTGGTAGTTTCGAACTGCTGACCTTTAGGTAAGCAGCTTGGCTCGTAACCCACTTTGCTACCAGGGCTCCTTCCACCTACAAATAATTCGTAATAAAATTCTTTCCTAAATCTTCTTTAAGGAACCCTGACTGGTAGCTAGCGTAGTTGATTATGAGCTGGGCTGCTAACCTCCAGGTGTACAGCCTCAGAAACCATATATAGGGTCGCTATGAATCAAAACCAATTTCATGGCACACCACTACAACCATCACCACCATTTGTAGATGGTAACAACAAACTGCTGTCATAAAATTCTGATTAAAATTTTTCTTAAGGGCTATTGTGAGATTTCCAAGGTATCTTTAAAAAAAAAAATGCAATGGATAATCTTGAAAGATGAGGCTTTCTGCTCCTGCAAAGATTTATAAGCCTTGGAAAATCTACACAGGGCTCCTATGAGTCGGAACTGACTCAACAGCACTTAACAACAACAAGGGTTAAATAGGTCAAAGGCAGGGAAACAGACTAAAATGACTTGTATACTAACCCCTCCAACATTATTCTGTTGTATTTTACATTTTTCTTTACTTATTTAAATGCCACAAACTATTAGTGGGTTTTTTTTTTTTTTGTTATTTGTTTCATCTTAGATTCTGTATTAATGATCTCCGTTTTAAAAGAGAGAGAGAAGAACAATTTTGTTTCTCATCTGCAGAATTAGCACTGGACTGTTAACCTCAAAGTTGGTAGTTCAAACATACCAGATGTTCCTCAAAAACCTTATGCAGGATCGTTATGAGTCAGAACTGATTCGATGGCACTTAACAATAAAAGTTCTCCTTTCAAGGCTATATAGTAATCATATAACTTATTTCCACTTAAAAATGTTATTATATTTCACGTAAGGAAAAAAACTGCAAAGCCCAACTTACAAAGAATCATTTCCATAGACATCACTTTTTTTGTTCTGTGTCAAATAATAGAGTTGTTCAATAGGAAGTTTTCTGAAAGAAAGAAAAAAAGATAATTAAACATTACAAAAAATTAACACAGTGTAGTAGTGAAACAGTAAAAGACAAACTAGTATTACTATGTGTATATAATGGGGAACTCTATACAGTAAGCACTGGAATGCAAATCACAAGGTCGATGGTTCGAGCCCATCAGCTGCTCTGTGGGAGAAAGATGATGCTTTCTATTCCTGCAAAGATTTTTAAAGCCTTGGAAACCCTATATAGGGTTGCTGTCAGTCAGAACCAACTTGATAGCACTTAACCATCACCACCACCTGCTCCCACCAAGATGTACAATCTAAGAAATCCTACACAGGGTCACTGTGAGTCAGAAACTACTCGACAGCACTTAACAACAACATGTATATATACAAATAGGAGTCCTGGTGGAGCAGTGGATTAAGCAGTGGGCTACTAATTGAAAGGTCAGCAGTTTGAATACACCAGCACTTTTCTGGAGAAGGATGAGGCTGTCTGTTTCCATAAAGATGTACAGCCTCAGGCTTCCTATGGAGATGTTCTACTCTTTCTATAGGTTTACTGTTAACTCAGAAACACCACCATAGCACAGGGTTTTGGTCATGGAAATTTAGTATAGAAAAGGTGGCATTTTAAATCAATGGAAAAGGATGTACAAATCATGCTATACACATAGATGTTGTTAAGTGGAGTCCACTCATAGAGACCCTATGTTTCCAAGGAGTGGCTAGTGGGTTTGAACCTTCGACCTTTTGGTTAGCAGTCCAGTGCTTATCATACAGCGCCATACCAGGATGCCATAATGCATAAATAACATTATCTATTTGGAGAGGAAATTATATCTCTATTTCACACTATTCACAAAGATAACTTCAGATGAATTAAAATTCCTGTTGTTATGTGCACACCAGCATTACAGTAAGAAATAAAACCTGTAAAATATTAAAAGACAAAACACAAGAATATGGTGAGTGGGTTTGAATGGCCAACATTTCAGTTAGCAGCTGAGCACTTAAGCATTGTACCACTGGGCTCCTTATATATTATCTATAATGCATATATTGTAGACCACAATGAGAAACTAAAAAGCCTGAGGTAGATCTACTGTAGAGAGAAAAGAAAACCCAAGTTGCCTAATACTATCCAGTGATTCCACACATAAAATAAGACCTCATAGTCTCACTTATAATTATGTAAATGTAAAACTGAAGGTGTAGAAGAAGACACACCAACGTGGTAATGGTGATTACCTTTAGGAAGGAAACAGGGATCTTATCTGCAATGTCTCACATTGTAGTGTTTGTTCATTGTAGTGTTGCAGCTGCCCACTATCTTTTGAACAGCCATCCTGTATTTTTGTAGTGAGTCTGTACTGCGAATTGCATCTATCCAACATAAACTGAAAGGAAATTTGCTTCCTAGTCTCTGAGATCGACCTAGGAGTGTGAGGGTTATTTATACCCCCCAAAAATGCTCACCTAAACCACCCGTCTATTGAGGATGCTCCTAGTAATTAAAACTCACTGCTGTCAAATCCATACCGATTTATAGAGACCTTATAGACAGAGTAGAACTGTCCCATAGGGTTTCCAATGTTTATGATAAATCATTTTTAACACTTTTTATTGTGACTGAGTGAAAGTTTAAAGAGCAGATCATCAATTTTGCATTCAAGAAATCATACACTTCATTTCAGCGATCACAATCCCTTCCATGTAACATCAGTTATTCTACTTCCTCCTTGTGATATTTACTTCCATTCCATCCTCCTTCCCAACCCTTCTGAACTTTGTCCTTAGGTAAGTGTTGCCCTATTGGTCTTGAATGGTTGGCCACTCCCTGGTGAGCATACCTGACTAGTGTTGTGGTTCCCCCTCTGTACCTATCTACTACTTGGCTAGATAACTGAGCCAGGAGGGTGAGTTCATTTCCAGATTTGAAGGGTGACCAAGGCCATAGTCTCAGGTTACTCCAGTCTCTTTCTGACTAGCAAGCCTGATCTTTTTTAAAAATAATTTTGCGTTTAGTTCCACATTTTCTCCCATTCTCTCCAGGATCTTCTAATGTGATCCTTTTTAGAACAGTTGTTAGGGAATAGCCAGGCATCCTCTCATTTTTCTGGTCTCAGGGTCATGGAGACTGATGTTCATGTGCTCTATTAGTTCCTTACACTAACTGGATCCAAGCATCTTCAATTGTCATGACTCTTTTTGCCTCTGCATCGGGAGAGACCAATAGTTACACCTTATTCAAGTCTGTAACCTTTATGGAAGCAAATTCTCCCACAGAATAGCAGGTGCATGCAAACCACCAACCTATTGGTTAGCAGCAGGATGTTTTCACCACTCTGCCACCAGGTCTCCTTCATAATAATAAGGCCAATAAAACGACAGATTCTCTGCATTTCCACCAGGTTTTCTCCAGCCATCTGGTGCTGGCTCAATGCCTTCATAAAGTTATCATGGGGTCAGGCACAGAAATTATACACAGACTCAGCAATAGGAATGTCCCATCATCAAAACTGACCTGGCTATCATTACATTTGAGTTTGTCACCAGAAGCAACCCACCCTAAGCACGTACTGGGGTATCACAGTCTTGGGTGTACTAGTCAGCAATCTGGTGATTACATTTGTTATTGTTGTTAAGTGCCGTTGAGTCAGTTTTGGCTCATAGCAGCCCTGTATAGGGTTTCCAAGGAGTGACTGGTGGGTTTGAACTGCCAACTTTGTGGTTAGCAGTTCAGTGCTGATCCTACAGTGTCACACGTTGTTGTTCTTGTTAAGTGCCATCGAATCAGTTTTGACTCATAGTGACCCTGTAAAGGATTTCTGTGGAGCGCTGGTGGGTTTGAACTGCTGACCTTGTGGTTCACAGTCTAGTACTAATCCTATAGTACCATTAATCCTGCAGTCCTTTAGTGAAGAGTTAATGTGACATTTAATTTGCTGCTCAGATTTTTTTTTTTCTTTCTCTTCAGTTTGAATCTGTGTTTTGCATAAAGTTTCTGAAAGAGTAACTTTAAGATTTATCAATTATTATTGAAATACTTTAAGACTTGAAAATAATTCTTGGTAGATTCTAAGACTATTATCAAGATTGATGAATATATTATAAAGTGAACATTCTAATAACTAAGAACATCTGTACCAATTAGAGAAACTATTTGCTCAAAGAAAAACACTTTTAATTTAATATATTTTTCTCTCTCAGGAATACTTCCATTTAGTTTTAGATAAGATGGGATAGGCAAGGGAATTAAATTAATCAAAATTTCTGATCACAATACTTAAGTGTCTCTTAGGACAGCAAAAAGCAGCATAAACACAGATTGAACTGATTCCACAATTAGAAATTATAATTAGTTTTTCCATCTGTGTTTTTTTAAATAATAGCTTTTAGAGTAGTTTTAGATTTACAGGAAAAAATGAGCAGAAAGTACAAAGAGTTCTCCCATACCGTTTCTCCTATGATAATATCTTACATTAGCATGGCACAGTTCACATTTTTATTCTTTGTGTTATACAGTCTTAAGGACTTTGACACTGTCTCTTTTCATAAGCAGTAAAAGCAGTAAGTTTAGAGACATATTTAAGTCAATGCAGGACTCATACTAGACACAAAGAAACATGGATAATAAAGATCTCTAAATAAATGACAGGTTACCTTGACCAGGTTTCTCCACCAAATCCATAATGCTGATGTCCTTTACCCATGAGACGAGGAGGTTCACATTTTGGCCTGTGTTCCTCAGGGAGTGAAATGGGCATTATCCCACCATATTCCCTATCAGCACCCCAGGGGAGCCGGCATGGTTGGAACAACTCCCTGAATTCCTGATACCTGTGAAAAAAGAGAGACTTAAGAAACTGCTTCAGAAAGAACTAAAATTCTTATAATTGTTTATATCATTATAAGAACACAGACAAAAATTCTCAATGTAGATTATGATACATACCGGTTACTTAGGCATTTTGGGGCCCTTAAAGGAATGAGAAGAACTTCTTGAGAATCTATAGATTTTTTTTTTTTTTTTTAAATGGGAAGTATTGTGAAGGATTTATAAGTTGCCATCGACTTGACAGCACTAGGTTTGGTTTGGTTTTTACTGGGAAGGACCTAAAGCTACTTGATCTGAAGTTCTGTCTAGAGCTTCTGTAACAGTGGTTCTCAAAGCCTGGTCTCCTAAAAACTTGTTATGTGCCATCAAGTTGGTTCCAACTCATAGAAACCCTGTATAGGGTTTCCCAGGAGTGGCTGTTGGGTTTGAACCACCGACTGTGTGGTTATCAGTCTAGTGCTTATCCTACAGCACCACATCAAGACTCTTGAGAGCTTGTTAGAAATTCAGCTTCTCAGGATCCAACTCAGACCTGGAATCCTGGTGTGGTGCTGTAGGATAAAATCATGGACCAAAAGTCAGTTTGAACCACAAGGTGGGTGGTTCAAACTCCGCAGCCGCTCCTTGGAAACCTTATTACAGGGTTATTATGACTCAGAACCAATTTGACGGCACTTAACAACCCAGATCTATGAATCAGAATCTGTAGGGTTGGAGCCCAGTAATGCTTTAACAAAACCTCCAGGTGATTCTTATGCATGCTAAAATTATCTTCTGTAGAAAGCAGGCCCTCAATAGTCCCTCCCTTACAATTAAGTGGGTAGGGGACATGGAACTTTACTATATTGGCTGGTGGGGTTTAGCCTGGTCTTGAAAATGAAGAGTTCAGATTATTTTTTTCTTGCTCTTTCTTAACACAGGAGTGAAGGGCAGAGAACCCTATCTTGTTGACTGTTCAACAGTACCTTGCCTCAGTGTCTTGACATATATATAGAAAGTGCTCAATAGTCTGTTGAGTAACTGCATGTATGAGGTAATGATTTGTGTCTTGGACTGCAGCCCTTGGCTAAGGAGCGGGCTTCACAAAACTTTGAAGGATATATCTGACAAAAGATCTGCTTCCTTTATTTAGGAATGACTTAATGACTTCCAGTATCCAATAATGGCAGGCTAGGTTGTTTGCACCAACTATTGAAAACAATCCCATTGAAAACAATCACAAATACTGAAAAGGAAAAGAAAATTCAGAGAAGTAAAGAAACAGAGGTAAAGGGCAGCAGCAACTCTCGCAAATTTACACCTAAGCTTTAAGGCCTTGTAGAGTGAAGGATACAGAAATCAGAGTTAGGGGCCAGGTCTAAAGGAAACCATCTCTGCAGTATGCTGAGTCCCCCAACAGCCTACACTGACACTTTAAGATGGAGACAAAAGAGTGGCCCTTCGCTCAAGTTTGGTATTACTTCCCTGTTGTTGTTGTTAGGTGCCATCAAGTCGGTACCAACTCATAGCAACCCTATGCATAACAGAATGAAACGCTGCCCAGTCCTGGGCCAACTTCACAATTGTTGCCACGCTTGAGCCCATTGATGCTGTCATTTTGTGAATCTATCTTGCTGGGGGTCTTCCTCTTTTTCTCTGACCCCTTCACCTTACCAAACATGATACTCTTCTCCAGCGACTGGCCCCTCCTAACAATATGTCTGAAGTATGAGAGACAAAGTTTGGTCATCCTGGCCTCCAAGAAGCACTCTGGCTGCACTTCTTCCAACACAGATCTGTCAGTTCTTTTGGCAGCCATGGCACTTTCAATAGTCTCCTCCAACACAACTCAAAAGCATCAATTCTTCTACAGTCTTCCTTATTCACTGTTCAGCTTTCATATGCATATGAGGTTATTGAAAATACCATGGTTTGGGTCAGGCGCACCTTAGTCCTCAAGCTGACATCTTTGCTCTTCAACACTTTGAAATGGTCTTGTGCGGCTGATTTGCCTAATGCAATACATTGTTTGATTTCTTTTTTTTCCCCATGCGAGTAAAATTTTACTAACAGTAATACAAAAACAGCTGCAAACATACATTGACAGAGAACTTCCTGAGGTTCAAGCCCGATTCAGAAGAGGATGAGGAACAAGGGATATCACTGCTGATGTCAGGTGGATCTTGAATGAACGCAGAGATGACAAGAACTGCCTTTTGAAATTATCTATTTTGCTCTTTGACTTCCTCAATTCTGCCATTTGTTTTAACATCTCTATGCTGGAGAGCAAGTTTCAGAGTCTCTTCTGACATCCAATTTGGTCTTTTCTTTCTTTCCTATCTTTTATATGAACTTTCTTTTTCTTCATGTATCATCCCACAACTCTTCTGGTCTTTGGTTATTATTGTCTTGTTCATCAATTCTGTCCTTGAGATGATCTCTAAGTTCAGGTGGACTATATTCAAGGTCATTTCAAACCTACCAGCCACTTCTTAGAATGTTTGCTATACAGGGTTGCTATCAGTTTGACCTGACTCCACAGCACTGGCAACAATAACAACAACAACAACGTCTTTGCTCTCTAATGCTCCAAAGCTGCTCTTTATATGATCTCTAAGTTTAGGTGGGATGTATTCAAGGTCATATTTTGGCTCTCGTGGACTGTTTTAAATTTTTTTCACTTCAGCCTGAACTTGCATATGAGAAATTCATGGTCTGTACCTGTTTGTCCCCTGGCCTTGTTTTAACTGATGATATGGAGCTTTTATACCATCTCTTCCCACAGATTCAACCAACTGGGTTTCTGTGTGTCCCATCTGGTGAGATCCATGTGTGTAGTGATATTTTATGTTGCTTAAAAAAGGCATTTGTAATAAAGAAATCATTAATCTTGTAAACTTCTATCATGTGATCCAACATAATTTCTATCACCAATGCCATATTTTCCAACTACTGACCCTTCCTCTTTGTTTCCAATCTTACATGCCAATCACCAGTAATTATCAATATATCTTGATTGCATGTTTGATCAATTTCAGACTGAAGAAAATTGGTAATTTCATACTCACTGGCCTTAGTGGTTGATGTGTAAATTTGAATAATAGTGACATTGAATAATAATGACTGCTGCTTCTGTGAGTGTTGATAGTTGATCCAAGAAGAATGAAGTCCTTGACAACTTCAGTCTTTTCTCCATTGATAAGAATGTTGTTTATTGGTCCAGTGGTGAGTATTTTTGTTTTCTTTACATTGAGATGCAATCCATACTGAAGGCTGTGCTCTTTGATCTTCATGAGTAAATGTTTTAAGTCTTCTTCACTTTCAGCAAGCCAGGTTGTATCATCATCATATCTCAGGTTGTTAATGAGTCTTCCTCCAATACTGATGCCAAATTTTTCTTTATATAATCCAGCTTTTCGGATTATTTGCTCAGCATACAGGTTGAATAAGTATGGTGAAAGAATACGACCTGGTTGCACACCTTTCTTAATTTTAAACCATTCAGTGTTCCTATGTTCTGTTCGAACAACTGCCTACTGGTCCAGGTACAGATTCCTCATGAGCACAATTAAGTGTTCAGGAATACTCATACTTCGCAATGTTGTCCATAGCTTGTCATGATCCTTTGCGTAGTCAATAAAACACAGGTAAACATCTTTCTGGTATTCTCTGCTTTTAGCCAAGATCCATCAGATGTCAGCAATGATATCCTTCGTTCCATGTACATTTTTGAATCTGGCTTAAACCTCTGGAAGTTCTCTGTCAATGTATGTTTGCAGTCATTTCTGTATTACCTTTAGTAAAACTTTACTCGCATGGGATATTACTTTCCTAGGCACCTGGAAAGACCAACTGGATTCCTCTCTGGAGGAAGGGTTCTTAGAGGAATTCTACTGAAGTTGAGTTCTAACAGAGGGAAGAATATTGTAGGCAAGGGAAGTAGCATGCAAAAGACCCTAGGAAAGACTATGGAATTGAAAAATCTAGACGGTGTTGATTCCTGAATCCCTCTTACAAAGGGAATTATTTTTGTTTGATAAAATATTTTGCTAAAGTGTAGAGACCAAAACCCAAACCCAACCCACTGCCCACTGCCATTGAGTTGATTTCAACTCCTATCTACACTATAGATCCGAGCAGAACTGCCCCAAAGGGGTCCCAAGGCTGTATGGAAGCAGACGGCCACATCTTTCTCCTGCAGAGTGGCTGGTGGGTTTGAACTGCTGATTTTGGTTTGCAGCTGAGTCAATGTGGCATTTAACAGACCCAGGAACTCAGAGTCAGAAGCAACTGTGACATCATCCTATACTCATGGGAATTTGGATACATTTTGGGGAAGACTTTGGATTTGTACAAAGCATGGGATAAAGATTTGAGCATGACTGAAGAGCTAAGGATTCAGTTATTTAACTGAATTCGAGTTGATACGGAATTTAGGAACGTGGGGCCCAGTAGGAAAACCGTATCCTGAGGGACTGGTTCAGTTCTTTGTACTATTCCTTGGGAGTAACTGGGAGTCAGATGGAAACCTGGGAGAGGAGCTCAGAGCACAGCCAGAGCTATGGACTGTGGAACTCCTTCTTTGTACAGCATTATTGTTGTTAAGTGTTGTTGAGTCAGTTCTGACTCATAGCGACCCTGTATAGGATTTCCGAGGAGCAGCTGGTGGTTTTTGAACTGCTGATAGAGCTTGGCATAATGGAATCCTCCTGTAAATATTTGCTGAGTGGAAAGAGTCCCATTCAGAAAATGGCACTACCTTATACATTAAGTATATTATTTCATGAAGTCATTAGCAATCCAACCTACTACCTGATTTTGTAAACAAAATGTTACTGGAATGCAGCCAAAACCATTCAGTTATTTATTGTTTATGGCAGCACTTAACAACACCACCACGACCTTCACCCTACAGCGCTAGAGTTGAGTATTTGTGACGGAGACCATAAAGTCTAAAATATTTGCTATTTGGTCTTTTGCAAAAAAAAGTTTGCCAGCCGCTGCATTAGCTAGTGAAGGGGCA